AATTGACAGAATATTTTGTAAATCTTGAACTTGGTTCTATTTATTATATCGGTTTCGGCTTAGATATTAATGGCGAGCAAATACATAGCAATTGGGAAACAGTTGAGACTAAGTGCAATTGTAAGTCGAGATTTGTTTGGTTCATAAAATATTTATATTACTTACAATTTTTTCAGTAATTTATTATTTATTCTAATAACAGTTATGTCATGATTTGTTATTAATAACTTTAGTATTTTTAGTAGATTGTCAATTACAAATTGTTTATTATTATTCCATTTCATTTTTAAATAGAAATAACTTTAATTTTACATAGTATGATACAAGATAATTAAGAAGTAATAAAATAATTGCAAAATATTTTATTGCGCGTTGAAAGATATTTTCACATTTTTATCGTATTGCCAAACTCGCAATAAAAATACTATTTTAATTTTTTATCTACTTCCACGAATAATATATTTTCTGTAATGATTCTTTGCGTAATTTAGCGGCAGATAGCTTTGATCTAACGCCCGAAGAAAACGGAATGATAATTAATTGGCGAATCAATCCAAATGTATGTAGACATTTTATATTAAATTGATTTAGTTTTTTTTTAATTTCACATGTAATTTTATTGAAACATGTTATTACAATACCTCGAAATAGTAGAATAATACTCATATCTGATTCTTTTTATTACAGCAATTATATTCGTGTCCGGCAGGATGGTATTATCTGGAAGTACGCAATATATATACGGATAAGCTAGTTCATAATTTATTAGCTAAATATTTCCCATATAAATTGCAAGACTTGCCGTCATACACTTCTTTCAATGTGACCATATATCATAAAGATCACAAGTTATTTTCCCAGGAAATTCGTACGCTTGAAGGCGGTGAGTTCGGTTATATCTTAAAAACATGTAATAAAAAAAGATTGCATATTTTCGCAATATAGATGAATCGTTACAAATATGCTTGAATTACAAATATATATTGTAAATATCCACAGTCCCATCTGAAGTGTCAGAGCTACAAAAAATGTTATCGGCTAATACACAACTAACTCTGATGTGGAGACCTCCACACGAACCGAATGGAAAAATAGTGCGATATGAAGTAATCTTAAAGGTAATACAGTTATACATATATAAAAAAAATCAATCAACAAAAATCTAACTTAAAATCAGTTTTATATCTCAAGTTCGTTTAGTGTTCAAAGTATCGCACGATATTATTGAGATTACACGCATACATTTTATTTTACCATTTTAATTATAATATATGTTAATGTACTGTGACACTTATTGTGAATTTTATCTTAATGTGCTGCGACTTATTATTATGCAAATAATATTTTATATTAATTCCAGGTTAAAGAGTATTACGGTTGTAGGGATTTACAAATATTTAAGCCGTATAATCACATTATTACAACAAAATTTACAATAGAGCCAACGATTACAATTTCGGATTTACATCCGTACACATTTTATAGTGCGCAGGTCATAGCTCATAACTCACGTCATTTCAGCACGTACACAGAGACAATTTTCAACACAGTACAATCTGGTATATATATATTCACTAAAATTATTATGTTGAAGGTAGAAAGAACACCGTTTAATCCATTAATTGTTTATTAATTGTTAATAAAAATTTTATAATATCGTGTATATTATGTATATGTATAAAAGAGTGTCACAGAGAAAATAGGAATCAATGGTTTTGTAGAGATACCATCAGAAATATTTAGTCAGTTGAGAGTACAAGACTGGAAATTGTCATGGAGTCCGCCCGAAGATTGTACAACAATTTCGGGATCATTAAAAGCCAGAATAAAAATACAGGG